ACATTATAAGAAAAAAATCCAAATTTCAGGAAAAGTATTTTTCCAAGTCCTCAATAGTCTCTGATCCCTGTCGAGAAAAACCGTCCGTATTTCCTTAGTAGCAGAGCTCATCAATCCGCGAAGTAGACGCGATTGCTGGAACAAAAGCTTTCTTAGCCTGACGTTTCGAATTCTCACTCGAATCCATCACCAGGTACGGAGTCAGGTAAGGGTAGAGGATTGCTCAGGTGTTGCCGTATTTATAGGATATAGTGGCTAGGTCGCTACATATTTATCGCAGTTGGTAGCTTCCTGGAGCTCGCCTCTTCGCTTAATTTAGCTTATCAAGTCCTTACAGTTCTGAACGACCCATTGAATGTTTTCAGTCCTTTCTCCAAATATGACTGCACAAAACACGGACTGCGCACGGCCATGCTTGCCAGTTATTACAAGACGATACCATGCAATCCCATGGCCGCTAGATTGGTAGATGCCGGTTAGTTGCACTACCTCTGTATATTAGGCAAGCACGGCTTTTACGGTTGGCGTTGTGAAACATGCGGTCTACAGACCTTTTACGTACTATAGAAAATCAGGGAACAGCCGCCCTTCATTTGGTGAAAAGATTCGGTCATCCGCATCGCCTAAGGGTCAGAGTGCGAAATGCGCCTGCGCATATCAGGGAGGTCTTTCTTCTTGTAATTTATCCCAAAGGAATCTACGAAACCGTTTTTAAAAACAAGGCTTACTCCTTTAATAAACCTTCAATTTGCCGGCGGAAGGCCTGATCCGAGTTATCATTCCGAGACGACCTTGGCCAGCTTCACGTTTAAAGCAGCGGAATTTGGGATATGCAAAAAACCAACCTCCGGCCATAGATGTGACTTTGCAGCGCGCATTGAGAGTTTGTTTTAGGTTAAAAAAAGCCTGAGTTCTAAGGCCAAATAATAACAAATTTTTAAAAAGAACGATATGTACAACATAAAACTTGAAGTGTGCATTTTGGTAATATTTGGGGCATGAATAATAAGTCCTTCATGGAAACTGAAGAACTTTGATATCGGTCTGCCCTTGAAATAATTTTCTAGTTCGTTAACTTTGGGTGCTTTCTAATCGGTGGTTGTCAGTCTATCTGGCCAGCTTCAAAGGGTCGGTCGCACACATCCTTCGGGTTTTCCAGGAGGCTGGCCATATGTGTCAGGACTAAGAGCTTATGGATTAGAAATTTGGCCGTTGGGACTTTGTGAATTTGGGGATCCTTATAATGTCTTCGTTATTTCTGGTGTTTCTGGGGGCGTTTCGGTTTGTAAGTAAATTCATTTTGAGAATATCTTGGTCATGGGTGACCTTGACTAGGAAATTTAGACAATTTTGGAGTCTTCGAATCCAGAGGGGTCGAAGACCGTATTTATGATATAGTTCTACGTATGAACCCTGGATGCCATCACTTGTAGACAAAGATTTAGTAAAACGTCTCTGAATGCCTTCTAGTTTCCTTCTGCCGTGTGAGAGCATTATACAGAAGAAAATGGAGCAATAATCTAAGGGAGGGAAACAAACATTTTGTAAAGTTGAATCCTCAGTGCATTTACGGTGAAATGTTTACATATGAGATCAGAGTTAGGGTTAAGGTTGGGAGGCTAGGGTTAGAAGTTAGGGGTCAGGCTACTGCAGCTACGTTTACGAAATGAGATTCGGCCAAGAATAATAACAATTCATTTCAGTACTCAGGATATACTAACGGAGATTAAGAACGACATCAATTGTAAACGACAAAAGGACTGAAGATCCTGAGCAAAGTGCCGGTTACAATACTG